GGCAATACCCGGGAAAGAGCTTCAATAATGCCTCATTAATTGCAGCTTCTCTGTTTCATGATTCTCACTCGCACAAGGTGAGAAGGAACTTCTTCATCTGCAAGTTTTCTGGCTCTCATGAGAAAGGGAAATCCAGTCCAAAAAGCAAGCTGTTTCTTTCTTCTTCAACCATGGCCTTCAAACTAACGCCTTAATAAATGAAGTTTTTGCAGCTTTCTTTCTTGCATTTGGTCTCTCAATCAATTTTTGGATGTGAATGGAACCTATTGTTTATGCAGAATAAACCACCTCATAACCTAGTGGCTTAGAACAACACAGCAATGTCTGTACATTCTCACTATTCTGTGGATTGGCTGGGAAGTTCCTTGCTGGTTTTGTCTCTCAATCAATTTTTGGATGTGAATGGAACCTACTGTTTATGCAGAATAAACCACCTCATAACCTAGTGGCTTAGAACAAAACAGCAATGTCTGTACATTCTCACTATTCTGTGGATTGGCTGGGAAGTTCCTTGCTGGTTTTGCCTGGGCCCACTCATTATTTCGCTGGAGCACTCAGATAGGCTGTGAGGCCCAAGATGCCTCACTGACATGTCTGGCAGCTGGTTCTGGCTGTCAGATAGGACACCTCAGTTCTCTTCCATTTGGCTTCTCATCTTCTAGTAGCCTATTGAAACTATATTTGGTGGTGACAGTGTTTGGAAACTAGGAATGAACAGTGAAGAACATGAAAATTACAAGTAGATTTCTTTGAAATTGACATTTTTGAGGGCAAAAATGATTGGGTATCAGCAATTTCATATGATTCAATCTAATACAACAGACAATCCTAAAATTAAACCAAGTAGATTGGATCAGGGGTTTCTTTACTAAGTAACTGGACAAAACAGGGACTTGTGAAAGACAATGGAATTTAAAAAAGAATCAAAGCAGAGTGATTTTATTGAGCTAAATCCTTCAGAGAACACTCTACTGCCCATGTTATGCAGCATGCAATGATCTTAAATATAGTTTGATGAGTTTCGATAAATACATATACCATTTTAACCACCATCACAATCAGGATATAGAACATCTACATCACCACAAAGTTTCTTTGTGCCATATCCCAGTCAATCACTCCATCTGGCCCCAGGAAGCTATTCTTTGCTATCTCTGACTCTACAGTTGCCATTTCTAGGAATTTCATATTTCAGGCATTTTCTTCTCAGCAAAATGCTTTGAGAGTCATCATGTTACTGCATATTTTAGTAGTTTGTCCCTTCATATTGATGGATAGTATTCCATTGTATGGATATTTTATAATTTATCCATTCACTTGTTGGTAAACATTTGGGTTGTTTCCAGCTTGGAACTATTAAGAATTAAACTGTTATGAGTATTTGGACTCAAATCTTTGCATAGACATATGTTTTAATTTCTCTTGGGTAAATAGTGGAATGGCTGACTCATACAGCAAGTGTAAATTTAACTTTATAAGAAATAGTCAAATATTTTCCAAAGTGATTATGGTATTTTCCATTCCCGCCAGCAACACGAGATTTGTAAATGTGCCACATAGTCACCAAGACACAGTACTGTATGTTTTAAAATTTTATCCATTCTAATATGTTAGAAGCACCTCATTATGATTTCAACTTGCATTCCTTTGATGACGATGCTGAACAACTTCTCATGCACTTAGTGCTATTCTTATATACTCTTGTGAAATGTTTTTTCAAATCTTTTGCCCATTTAAAAAAATTGGGCTATGTCTTATTACTAAGCTGTAAGAGTTCTTTATATATTCTAGATAAAAGTCCTTCGTCAGATATATAGATTGCAAATTATTTCTCCCAGTCTGTGGCTCATCTTTTCATTTTCCTAATGGTGTATTTCCAAGAGCAGAACTTTTAAATTTTGAAGTATAATTTATTACTTCTTTTATTTTAAAGTTTGTGCTTTTTTTGTCCTTTCTAAGAAATTATTTTATTCCAAGGATGATAAAGACTTTTCTGTTTTCTTCTCAAAGTTTTGTGGTTTTTTTTATTTTAAAGTTTGTGCTTTTTTTGTCCTTTCTAATAAATTATTTTATTCCAAGGATGATAAAGACTTTTCTGTTTTCTTCTCAAAGTTTTGTGGTTTTAGATTTCAAATATAGGACTATGATCCATATCATGTTAATATTTGCACATGGTATGAGATCATGGATGAGGTTCACTTATTTTTCCATATGAATGGATATCCACTTGTTCACGCTCTATTTTTTGAAAAGATCTTTCTTTCCTCAATGAAGTTTGGTGTGTAGGTGTACCTCTAAGCTTTTATTATGTTCCATTGACCTATATGCTTAGTCTTGACTAACAAATTGTCTTGATTATTGTACCTTTATAGTGAGTCTTGAAATGAATACTTCTTGTAATAAGTATTCCAACTTTGTTCATTTGTTACAAAGCTATTTGGCTATTCTATGTCCTTCTAATATGTGATCACATCAATTTACTTTATTTTGGCTTTTTGTTTATGCTTTTGCTTTTCATCAGGTTAACTGACATAATATATAATTTACATATGCTAAATTTCAAACGAAGCTTATCCAGTACCTTGAAAATCTGAACATATTCACTTAAAGAAACATTATAAAAGGTATAAGGCTTACAGGTTATCTTCAGACTCATTTTAATCTATAATACAATCACATGTTGCTTAACAATGGGGATACATTCTGAGAAATGCATTTTCAGGTGATTTTTTCATTGTGCCAACATTATAGAGTTTATTTACACAAACCTATATGGTATAGACTACTATACACCTAGCCTATATGGTACAGTCTAATAGTCCAACCACCATCATATACGCGGCCCATCATTGACCAAAACGTTGTTAGGCGGTGCATGACGATATTATTAAGTATACAGACAATCAGAATCCTTAGAAGAAAGGAATAAAAACAAAAAAGATGGATAAACCAACACTAAGGGATCCTAAGACTGGATAGGTAGCGTTGTTCAACAAACACAAGTTCTCATTCTGGTTCTGTAAATTCTGAGCTATGTGACCTTGGATATAACACTTAATCTTGCTATGCTTCAATTTCTTTTCTATAAAACGGGAAAGATCTACCTCATACTGCTGGCTGCTCCGAGATAATAATGTAAATTGCTTAGCAGAATGCCTGGTACAAAGTTAGCACTCAATAAATATTAGCTATTATTATCATCTTTAAATGAATCCTGTTAAGTCAGCATTATTTTCCCCATTTTTCAAAGAGCAAGTTGAGGCTATGAGTTTTTCTTTCCTATGACTATTACTCTGTTTCCATGCATACGTTTTGAAACTGTATGATCTAATCTGTTGTACTTTCAAACCAACTGGTCCACCTCATGTTATAAATGCTTGTTAGTCTGATTAAATGAATTTACACTTAAAAGCCTATGGGTATAGCATTTTAAAAGACAATTTTGCTAACTTAGTGGAATCTTTGCACTCCTTGCAATATCCTATGATAGTGAAAAATTCAGGCAAAAAGGGAGCATTTCGAATTAGCAGCTTCATGGAACCCCTAGAAACCCTTTTTGAAAGCATTGGCTTTGAATTCAACATAAACAAAGCATATGTGGTAAGCAAATTTCCTTAATCAGAAGAAAGTATAAAGAAAAAGATGGTAGATTTGACTGCCTAAAAACTAAAAATTTCAGAACACCATAAACAAAATGACAAAGGACCAATATCCTTAATACATAAGAATGCTTAGGAACCAGAAAGAAAAAGTAAAAGTGTTCAAAATAAAAATGTGCAAAAGCTAGTAATACACAATTAAAGAATTGCCAACAAATAAAAAAAAAAAAAAACCTCACACTTACTATTTTCAGTCATCAAAAAGGGAAATTGTGTACTCTGCTGATGGGAGTACAAATTGACCTTTCAAGAAGGCAATTTGTAAATACTGTAAAGCTTAAGACACACAAATTCCACTTATAAAAAGTTACACTAAAGAAATAATCAGTGATGTAGTGGGAAGAGTCATTAAAGTTTTACTTATTATAGGGAAAAACTGAACCATTATGTCCAATAATGGGGGATTAAACAAACTGTGGTTCATCTGTATTATGAAGTTATTAAAATAATAACATGATATAAAATTCATGACATGTTAAGTAAAAGTAGGTTATAAATTAATACACACACATACACACATGTATATTGTATGTTCCCAATTTTGAAAGTACTTAAAAAATAATTACATATATATTTTTAAAATATTAACAGTGGTTATGTCCAGATAGTGGGGAAATGATGATAATTTTTCACTCTTCTTTATATTCTTCTTTATATTTTCTGCATTTTCCAGATTTTCTACCAGAAAATGTATTTTTAGAGTCTGTACTCAGAGTCATTTTCATCATGTCTTATTTTTACAATTCCTGCTCTCTCTTCATTTTTGATACCAAATAAACATTAATAGCTCCAACACTGGAGACTCTAGGGAAGGGGCTTGTGTGAATACATTTTTGGACAATATTCTCTAAATCAAGAGCAGCTCAATAAACTATGCTGTTGTAAAATGTGGGAAAAGCCACTGGCAATATCTTATTTGAGACTGACTGTGTGAATACATTTTTGGACAATATTCTCTAAATCAAGAGCAGCCCAATAAACTATGCTGTTGTAAAATGTGGGAAAAGCCACTGGCAATATCTTATTTGAGACTGAGAAATTTAAGTAGACCTAACAACAAAGACATGTAACCCAAGAAGTAAAGAAATATTTCTATTTATTGTAATAATTAAATAACCAAGTGTAAAAATTTTAAAACACATAAAAAAAAACTTTAAAAATTAAAATGTAGTGAAACTGTATAAAATAATAATTAAAAACACATCAACTGAGAACCCCCAAATAAATATATAAATCCTATATAAATATAGGATACATATTTATGAAATTCTTTAGAAACTTTAAAAATTAAAATGTAGTGAAACTGTATAAAATAATAATTAAAAACACATCAACTGAGAATCCCCAAATAAATATATAAATCCTATATAAATATAGGATACATATTTATGAAATTCTTTAGAAATATAGTAACTATTCTTTGAATAAAGTTTGAAATTTGTTTATAATTTTCAAACTAAGGAATAAAGTAGTAAATAATAGCTTCCTCCAATTTATAATTGCCCTAAAGAGAATGATTCTGTATCACTTCTTGCTTGCCTTTTCTAATACCCATTCGATCACCTAGAGGGAGAAAAAAATATGATTATGGACATTTCTACTGACAACACAAGTGATAGACAAATATACTGCAAAACCGTCAAAAGAACATGGTAGAATGTCTAAAATAAAAAGGACCATATCTAAATCTTATACTTAAAAACACATTTTATTTTCTCATAGGAAAGCACTTTTTGCTGAACTTCAAATGCTGAGGACAATATTATTCTCGGACAAAATGAAGATTCTATTCCATTTTCTCACCTTTATTTGAAGATATGTTTCAAAGGGTCACTCAAAAAAACTAATCCAAACTTTGAAAATGGCTAATAAAATTGGATAGTTTTCCAGCTCTTTGGATAATTTATTTTCCACGTTACTTTAGAAACTCTTTAGTTAAAAGAGCAACCTACTAAATTCTATGTCTGAATAAGTCAATTATTTAATATCTTAAAAAGTTTTCAGAAGGGGTGGGGAGGGTTAGGAAGAAATTGGTAAAGGGCCACAAAAAATGTTTACACTGTGTAATAAAAAAAAATAAGTAAAGTTTTCATAGGGACAGAGTTGAAAAGACCACTCACTAATACTTGCTGCATATGTATAGTAACAGAATCACAGCTACCCTGACAAAATACCAGTTAAACTGAATACTGTTTCTTGGGAATAATTTATTTACCTGTACGGCATTGTTGTTTGCTGTCTTCTTCATTTCTTCAAACAGACCCCTTGAAGTTTTAAGATCCTGAACATAACAAAATATAGCATTTTACAATTTGCACATTAAATTATAGTGAACAACTCATTATTATTAAGCAAACTTGAGATTATCCTAAATCAGTCTATAAGTACCAATATGATTAGGGAAATACTACAAAAAAGTCAAATTGATTGATTATAATTTAGCACCATCCTGAAATATTAAAATACTACAACCAAAATACATATACAAATACATAAATCCATGTTACTCTCATTTTCTATTCCCAATACTGCTGACCTAACCTAACCCCCTTTCTCCACCATGCGTATCCACTAATGCTTCATTGCTCAGGAAATGAATATACAGCTTGCATTTATTTTTCAGATAAAATATCTTTTTTCTTCTTCTTGGCTATTTGACTTCATCACAAAGAGGAATGGCATAGGAACGAAAACTGAAATCTCTCATTTTTTAAAATTTAATGATTATATCAAATTAGATTATAAAGTAGAAAAAAAAATCTTACATTAAAAAAGAAAAAAACCCCAGTCTTCTGCTATACCTCCAAGTTATGCTCCATAGAGGCAGCTGCTTTCAATTCTTTTAGCTTATCCTCTTATTTATACTCCATGTTTCTAACATGCTTACACTGCTACTTGGTGATTCAACAATTTTAGACAGACTAAGATATCAGATAATGGTCATGGATTCAGATCTTGTACGTAGCATCTCCATTCTCTTCCTCTCAATAACGTCTGCACCGCAATTATTGATTATTAAATAGTGTTTGCATTATTATATGCAGGTAAATACAGTTCAATCCTTAGCCAATTAATGTATTATGGTTATATATATTTTTTTCATCCAGCTTTGTATTTATCCGGTAGTTAAACTACCTGCTTAATTTTTTTATTTGCTTAGTTTTCCATGTGTATAATTCTGGATTTTTTCTCCCCCTAAATGCTAGCAGTAGATTAAATATACAGCAATGCTTTTTCAAACACTGAAGTACACTGGATACTCTCTCATTTGTTTTTGTTTTGTTTTGTTTAAATTTATTTAATTTTTTTAACCTAGAGATCTTTCTCCCATAGCTGCTCCAATTTGGTATAGTTGCTCCCTAGACCTCATCCTGTTTAGACTTGTCTTGACCCCTCTAAGTTAGTTTTTGTTTCTTAATTCAGTTCTTTGTTCTGCAGAACTTCATCTTCTAGCAGATTCCTCAAAGGTTAAGACAAATTTTTTAGACCTTTCATGTTTGAAAGTACCTTTATTGAATCTTCATTACCTGATATGAATTTTAGACCAGATATAGAATTCTAGGTAAATCACTCTCCCTCAGAATTTGGAGACACTTTTCTACCATCTTCTAGCACACAATGTTATTGCAGATAAGTCCAATACCTTTCCTATTCTTGATTTTTTATTTGTGAAGTACATTCTCTCCTGGGAAGCATTTAGGAAATGATCTATGTAAAGAGGTGTGAAATTCCACAATGATGTGGCTTGCTGTAGAATTTTCATTCACCGAGCTGGACAAGCGAGGTGCCCTTTTCAGCAGGAGACTTGTAGCCTTTACTTCTAGAAAACTTTCTGTTATTAACTTCTTTCTAAGAGAATTATAGTTTTTATGAAGTTTTCTTTATCTTTCTGCTCCTTTAGAGTTCCCTTTATTGCTTTATTATGTTTTCACATCACTTGTGTTAGAAGCTTTGCTTACAGTCTACTAATCCTTGGAAGTCCAATCATATTTAAAAATGACACTAAAAATCTTATTGGAAGCTCTGCCTGTGCAGATCTTGTCCACTGGGTGGCTTTACAAGGTAGGGTGACAAGGTGGCCAGTTGGTTTTTTCACTGTGGCCTCCAAGCTTTTCTCTAAAGACTATTTCCTGCACTTTCACAGAGGTGAATGAAGAGAAGTATATGTGACAGACCTTGTAGTTAACAGGAAGAGCAAGGTGAAGGTTCCACAGTTCACTTTGCAGATCTTTATTAATTCCTCTGTTTTCAACCTGGCGTCTTGCCCTTGCTTTCCACGGTACCTGCTGTCTTCAAATCCTGAGCATCTCAGAGACTGTGTGAGTCAAACTGGCATGGTTCTCTCTGATATTCCACTAGGCAGGCACTTAGGCTGTAACTCCTTTTACTTTGCTAAACCATGCTTCCATGTGCTTTTTCTTGTTCAACAATGTACTAAAAACATTTCTACAGTTTTTTCTTGCCTCTTTGCTTGGGTTTTGTAGGTTAATATTGTTTTTCTTGAGAGATTGTAGAAAGAATGAGAATCAAATCTGCAGTTTTAACCAGAAACCCACATACAACTGTAATTCAAGTCAGAAACTGTTAAAGCTGGGGATAATCTAACACCGCCTAAGTTTTAGAAAACTGTCATCTGAGTGGCTGATCTGTCCAATGTCTTAAACTAGGTGACAATGGATCCAAAATTAGAAACTGAGTGTTATGATATTCAGACTAGTAGCCCTTTCACTATATAATAAAATTACTAATTAAACATGTTTTAAGCTTATTATCAACTTAAGTCAAAGACTCACTTACTTAGAACATCAGTTAAAATGTAGCTTTCTGTATATGAAAAAGCTAAAATCAAATAAATCAACTGTAAAATACCTTAGCTTCAATTCTCCTATCTCCATATGAAAAAGCTAAAATCAAATAAATCAACTGTAAAATACCTTAGCTTCAATTCTCCTATCTCCTAAAAAAAAATGTGGCAGAAAGTTGTATGCTAATAGTATTAAAAAAAAAAAAAACTCATTTAAACATTTTTATGTCAAGCTGAACATTAGAACATGAACTAAAAATTTAAAAAAAAATGTGGCAGCAAGTTGTATGCTAATAGTATTTAAAAAAAAAAAACTCATTTAAACATTTTTATGTCAAGCTGAACATTAGAACATGAACTAAAATTTGCCATTAGTAGAGAAGACACCATACCTTTAGATAGAACTTAGAGATTTCAAAAAGACGCTGGCTACATGCACTGAAACATTCATGAGCCTCAGTAATGCTGTGCTTCTTCAGGGTTTCAGCAACTACTTCTTTCAATATCTTGAATGGAATATAACACGTTACCAACATTTCTTGGAAGAGGTACAAACCTATTATTTCAGCTTTAGAGTTCAATTCTGTGAATTACAGGATCTTTTAGCTGTGCTAAAGATAGATAAACCCATTAAGACAAAACAACAGAGAAAAAAAAGGTATATGTAACATTTACACAGTCACACGTGACACGGGATTAGTATGTTAGCAGGAAATGACTGAAGTATCTTAAGAAAGAAAGTAATTAAAATTATGAGTTCTGAACAGAAACCAGAGTAAAAGTTACACACAGCAGGGATATACAGGTGTGTATTTATTTTTTATTAGGGAAAATTTCAAATATAGAAAAGTAGAGAGAATATTTTATAACAAATCCCCACCGTGATGTATCTATTAACCAGCTTCAAGGATGATATGTGGCTAATTTTGTTTCACTTACATCTCCGCTCATTTTCCCATCATCCTTCTTGCACTGAATTATTTTAAAGTAAATTCTAGACATTTTTTCTGTTCATTCATAAAATTTTAGACATATATTTTAAAGAAATCAAATAAACTAATTTCTTCCCATGTAGAACTAAGAAAAATGGGAAATAAATCTTTACCCGTGTGTGTTTCTGCGATCTTGATTCCTTAATTTGTGTTGATGTTTTGGATTCGTGCACACTTTTTTGACCTGATCTGGCCTTTGTGGTGACTTTTGGAGTTTCACTGCTAGGAAGTGGAACCAACGGACAAGTTATTGATGATGACTTCTCTGCCCGTGGCTTTCTGGATGTCACCACATGATGATGATGACTACTATTGTCATTTGTCTGAGAAAGAATAGAATCTGAACTTTCAGATTTCACAAGCCTATAGAAGGGGAAAAAATCAAGAACACAGATTAAGTGAATCAACAATGAAGTCTGTATTTTCTGCCTTAAATTTTACAACTGTATCTATCCAAACATAAATTCAAGAAAAGCAAATAAAACTCCTTACTACTACTGCCTTAAATAAGCAATCAGCATACTATAAAGATGTTCTTTAGTTCTTCAAATGAGTGACTAAGACACAGGAAGCAACGAATAACAAACAAAACGGGTGATTAAAACACAGAAAGCCATGAATAACAAACTAGAATTTCAGTTAACAAAGAAAGCAACAAGCAATATTACTATATTCTTGCCCCCTCCAATTTACAATTTGTCACATAAATCAGCTATGCATGTCAGGTGGTGCTATTTATAGATTTAAAACTCATCTGTTAAGTATTTACACTTTTCTATTACGATAGTTTTAAGAAAGAAACCACAATCCATATCTTACTGTACTTATGTAACTGCCTGTGCAAAATAAATAATAGTGTCAAAACAAATACAAATGAAACTATAAAATTGATAATTGTTTCAATCTTTCTAAAAGGTCCTGTTGGGAAGATAGAATAGTTTGGTCAGGGCCCTCGACTCAGCTCCCATTGGGTGTGGTTTTAGCACATCCATTGTAAGCAAATTGTGTATGTGTGTGTGGAGTTAGTATGCATGTGTACCAATGTATCTTTTTACTTTTGTTGCTATTCTTGTGTTCTTCGAAGAGAGAGACAGAGAGAGAGAGAGACAGGGAGGGAGGGAGGGAGGGAGAAAGAGAGAAAGAGAAAGAGAAAGAGTAGAGAGTAGAGAGTAGTTTTAGTGAAGCAGGCAGGCGGGCATTGGCCTTGGGCATCAGCGTCAGCCTGGCACAGCCATGCTTTCCAACCTACAACTTCCAAGGACCTTTTGGCCGGTTACCTAGCTCACAGACCTGCATGAAGGGGTCTGGTGACCCAGCCTGGCATATGAAGGGTTTGTGACCCAGTCTGTGAATGGGCTTGAGGGTCTGGGAGCTCCAGACCCAACCCTAGCTCAACATTGGCCCAGTCGGCAGGATCACCAGCAGGTAAAAGAGCCCGACAACTGGTGTGGTCACCTAGCTTTACAATTGGCATCACGAACAGGATTAAGAGCTAGACAATTGGTGCTGTGAGGATTCCAGGCCTTAGCCTAGCCAGACAGGTCCTATAGCCTTCAATTCTGTTAACCCATAGGTCACAGTGTACTTTCTTTTCTCAAACACATATCTTTTATTAGTCACAGGTCAAAAATAAGAAATAAAGTTATAAAATATAGTATCCCAAATGTTAATAGATTTACTTTTTAGCTTTCTCAGGCGTAAAAAGTACCATGAGTTTTAAAGTCTTCATAAAAATAATTTAGGTTTTCCACAACAGGGAAGCAGAATTCTCATTTTTTAACTATTCAAGAAAATATTTGAAAGTTTTGCTTTCACATATTTCATATTTACTGTAAGATTTAAATACAATAAAAATTTAAGGCTTCCTTTACATGTCAAGGGCCTAAATTAGACACAGTTTCTAAAGATATATAAATTCAACAGAAATTAGAGCATTGTTTACATAAACTTCTTGAGCAAGTGTTTGGATATTTTATTTAGCTAGCAAAAAAACTATCTAGGAAAGTTTCACATAATATACTATTATGTAGGCTTTAAAACTATATTTTATATGTAACAAGTTGTTTTAAAATGGTGGGTGCCTGATGGAAATCACTGCTTAAGAGGCCAATGCAGGCAGGAAATGGTGAGGGGAGAGGGAGGGAAAAGCTAACAGAAATATTCCTATCCCCAAACACCCTCTTCAACAGAACAGCTCAGTTTAATCTATGGGAAGAGATCTCTAGTGTTCCATGGCTTAAAAACTTTACAATACATTGTGCTACTGGACTGTATATTAGCATATAAAACAAGAAATAGTCTGTTTTTTTCCAAGTTACTTCTTTTTATAACTTATAAGCAAAACCATTAACTGCTCACAATAAAAATAAACTTCCTGGCATGGAGGAATTAATCTGAAAAACTAATATGAAAAAATAAAAATCCTCCTAGAGACTGACAGTATCTTCTGTCAAGATACTATTTTTCTTCACTTAATATATCACCTTCTTTTGGGATACAGGCAATTCAGATCTTTGGATCGCCGTTTCAATCGGGATACTTCAGTTTGGAGTTCACTTTGCAAAGCTTCTCCATCAGGGACACTTCCAGGCTCTGACAAAACTGCAGGTGATGGAAGAGGGCTCAACACAGTAGGTACCAGGAAACTTTCTCTGGTGCAGGTAGTTTGAGTTTCATAACGAATAAGACGAGACTGAAGTTCAGAAAATCCCCCATCTCTTTCTAAAGCTTTTTGGTCATCCAAGCAGTATCTAAAATGAAGGAAAGATCATTAAAATTAAGGCCTCCACAAGAGCTAAAGGCTTTTCCCTTTCAATTAGAAAAAAGCAAGACATTTACTTAAAAAATTCTTAACTTCCTAATTATCGTTGGAATGTTGAATGAATAACCTACTTCCCTCACAATTTCAGTTTTTTTCTAATCTGCCATAAAACATAACAAAAGATAAAAAAAATCTGAAGTACAATCTGATGTCTCTTTGACTATGTTTCTGAGCAAAAGATTAAGTTAATCCTTTGGCTTATTTTCAAAATAATATACTTGTTGCCTTAATACTTCTTAAAACTCCACCAACTTCTGATCTCTCAGCATGGTGGATATGTAACTGCATGAGATGCTGACTTCTGTTAGAAAAGGTAAGTTTATTTTCAACACCAAGACTAAAAGGGTATAAAGGCATTCTAAACTGGCTCACCAAATAGCTCAGAACATTTTCAATCTTTTCTTTGAAGTTCACTTCCCACCTTATTGACTGATAGATTTTTCTTCAAACACTTCAGCTGTCTGTGCTTCTAGCTAAATCTGATTCAGGGAATCAATGAAATGTTAGCTCAGTGAATGCTTCTGGACTCAAAGAAATCCCATGTTGCTAAATACAATAAGCAAGCATATCAGAAAAATCACCTATGAGACGTGTGCCCTTGGAAAGCTCTTCACTTTCTCCCCTTTTTCCAACTGCATCGCGAAAACACAAATGGTTCCACATATGTAATGGTACAACTGTAAAAATTAAAACCTGTTATCTGTCTTTTTTTAATCTACAAAATCCTAAGATGCTCCCTAAAATCAGATTTTTGGATCTATAAGCTTTTAGTTCAACTTTCAAGGAGTGTAACATTACCTGAACATCTCATTGCCTGATGAAGGTTTTAAGAACTTTCTTTCATGACACTTACATATTTGATTTCTAAGAGTACGGACTATAGAGCTGGACTCCCTAGTTTTAAATCCAGGCTCCTTTCCTAATTAGCTGTGTGAACCTGGCTAAATTACTTAAATTTTCTATGCTTTTGTTGCCTCATCTGCAAAATGAGATTTATAGTACTTATCTGAAAGAGCTATTATGAGGATTCCCTCAATGGGTACAAGTAAAAATCAGAGCCTGAAATATGCAAGCAAAGCAATCAGTAAATGGATGCTGCTATTATGATTAATATTATCACCAATATATTTTATTTTCTACCACAGCAAATCTTACAGTATGCTCATAACATGTAGCATACCCATAATTTAAACCCAGGTTGGTGAACTCAGAGCCTGACTTTAACCATTTTAGTATACTATGTCTTAAATAAAATTTAAGGATCATCTTATTCAGCAGTCAACACATGGTTGAACACTGAAGAACTTTTAAGAAATACAACATACCCTTGCACAGAGTTCCTGACTAACTTGGTCAGGGGTGAGACCCAGTCACTGACATTTTTAAAAAAGCTGCCTAGGTGATTCTAAAAAAAAAAAAAAGTTGAATACATAGAAACAGAGGAGAAACGTGGTTACAGGTGGAGATAGGGAGTTGGGGGGATGTAAGTCACGAAGGGTACAAAATTGCAGAATTACACAGAATGAATAAATCTAGAGTTCCAGTGTATATCATGAGAACTATAGTTAATAATATTTTATTATATATTAGAAATAAAAAAAGAGGTGACTATGAAATGTGATAAATGTTAACTTGCTTACCTGTAGTAATTGTTTCACTATGTATATGTATATCAACACATCATGTTGTACACCTTAAATATATATGAGTACAATTTTTTAAAACGCTGCCTAGGTGATTCTGAAGTGTCAGTAGGACTGAAAAATATCTGATACAACCTAACAGCTTAATTTAACAGGTGAGAAAACTGAGTTCCTAAATCAGAATGTTAGTTGGTGTCAGAGAATGGACTAGAAACTAGGTCTCTCAATTCTCTGTCTAATATTCTTTCTCTGGTCTGTTGTTTAATAAAATATATTTCATTAATAATCCATAGCAACGCTAGGATTACTGATAAGTCCTACTTATATCCTGGACAACTGGTAGAACCTAAAGTAAAATTAAGAGCCATGAATTTTTTTTTTTTTTTTTTTTTTTTTTTTTTTTTTTTTTTTTTTTTTTGACCAGTAAGCGGATCACAATCCTCGGCACGGTGTGGTCCGCACCACGCTCAGCCAGTGAGCGGACCGGCCATCCCTATATAGGATCCGAACCGGCAGCCTCGGAGCTCCCAGCGCCACACTCTCCTGAGTGAGCCAAGGGGCCGGACCAAGAGCCATGAATTTTAAGAAAGGTTCCAGGCAAGAGGCAAGGTAATGCCTGATTAGCCTGTATACAGGGAAATTTTGAGAAGAGATGCATATTTTTTCTTCCAGCTTTCCCATCTCATGATCACTGCTGTTCATAATGTCATCCTGTCAACTGAATTATGCACACTGTACATACTGATTTTAATTGCCATTTAAAATGCTTTTAAAATGATTACACTATGATTTGCCATTGAAACAAAGAGTTACTTTGTAAATTAGAGAGAAATTTAATCAGAGTAGCAGGGTATTTATTTGATATTAGTGAAGTATTTATTGTTCAATGAATGATTACAATTCCCTGTTTTCTTACAAAACAATAACCAAATACTTTATAGGTCCTAACAAAGAAAAATACCCATAAGATGATGAGGCTTTTTTGTTTTGTTTTGTAACTAAGAAATAGACAAAATACTGCCTCTATCACACACCAGGCAATGCCAATGAAAGCAGGAGAAGCTGCCAAATCTCTTGGAATAGATGAAAGAAATTTCAAAGAAACAAGAGACTGGTGTGACCAAACAATTGTCACAGTATGCCAACAGAGTTTAATTTATTGTTTAAGAAAACAGTGCATTTACAATCAATGGCATCTTACACTCCAGGACAGGGTAGATAAGTGAAAAAAAAAAAACAAGCCAACACTGGGTGTATTTCATTTTGCCTTAAGAGACATTGAACTTCACCTGAGCAGTTAACATATTTTTTCTAAATATTCCTTTATATCATAGTGGAGACCTCGGGGGTTCTTAAAGCCCATAGCAACATAGGAAAAGAGAACTTTCTTTGCAGGTTCATTTTTATTTTAAAATTTCACTTGAATTTCATTTCTACTCTATAATCTATATTGAACATAAATAAGTCCCTCACACTATACACCCAAATCTTCTTGACTCATGGTGCTCACCTTCTACAACTCTGTTAGTCCGATCTCAATGTTCCCAGCTTAATGAACATAAATTTACAGTAAAGAAAACTGAGTCACAGCTAGATTTATTTGTTTGTTTATGGGGTAGGTAGGTAGAAGAGGAAAAGAAAACTACTCCTTTACAATGAATAAGAATCTCATAACATTGTATATGTACAAATTAATAAATAAAGCTCTGTGTAGACTTAGGCCCATCAGAAAACAGTGCTCAAATAAGTCTTAATTTAATATTTTGGTAAATTATCATAAAGAACATATTCTTTACAAATTCCATAAATTTATGTATATCATTAAAATTTTTCTACAGTAAACTACAAACAACAGGAAAGAAAAAGTAGGGAGATGAGACTCAAAATAAACAAAACTAAACTAAAGCATTTGGGGACAAAAATCTGAGATATTGTTATATGATGGTTACTTCAGTCAGCAGATAAAATGGAATTATTATAGCTTATTTTATTCAAATCAGTGTTTCAATGAGTTTATAGGGGTGAAGATACAAAAAAGAACAACAACAAAAAAAAAAAAAACACGTGTGTCCTGGAGTATTTTGGCCATATAGCAAAGAAAATGTTAATACTAGTATATTTTCTCAGTAGTGAACACTATTTTTCATCATAATAATACAAACACTGTTAACTGGTTTTAATTTTCAGATTCAAATTAAATGCAAAATATCTGAAATGTTAATTAGGTTCCTTAAATAGAGTAAGAGGTCCTAAAATTATCAAACCAAAAGGGGGAGATACTGCTTTATAGCTAATGAAATACGAAATAGAAGTTTAAATACATTTTTAAAAACACAAAAGCAAATAGCAGAAAACTCAGATTGAGAAGGGGAACCAAATCTTCATTTTTCATAGCAGAGAGTCAATAATATTTTATATGAAGACATGTATTAATCAAATTTTTATAGAGTAGAACAAAGAAGCTCCCACTTAAATTTGATTAAGGTAAACTTAGTACAAATAAAGAATAAAATTTTTATAATGAATGCACAAAAGAATATATAGCTAAAAATGTAAATAGTTCAAATTAAAAGGTTTAGTTAAATTCAAGGCTCTTTGGGGAACACTGCTAACCCTTTGATGTTAAGGAGAGAACGATAATTCTCTCAACTAAAAATAAAAAGCTGGGACAAGTGGCATTTCTTATCTTTTTACAATTCAGCAGTTATCTATGAGTTGTCTTATCTGTTGCTCACAAAACAATTTAAAATACTTATCTGAACCACTTAGATTCAAATTAGCATTTCATACAGGACTTTCAGAAATTATTCATTATTGGATGTTGTACTTCCTTTTACTCATTTCAAAGTCTTCATATTCTTTCTTCAACTGTTTTTTCACACAGATGTTTACTTTTGTTCCATGTATCAATATTTTGTTCCTCGTTATTGTTTAGTATTGCTTTGTATAGATACACCACAGTAATTTATCTGTTCTCCTACTGATATACTTTCAGGCTATTTCCAGTTTGGGGGCTATTATGAATAAAATTGCTATGAACATTTTTTGACAAATCTTTTTTATGAAGCTAGGCTTTCATTTCTCTTAGGAAAATATCCAGCACTGGAACTGCTGGGCCATAGAGTATAAGTATGTTTAGTTTGATAAGGACCTGCCACATTCTTTTCTGAAGCAGATAAATCATTTTATACTGCCACCAACAGTGTACGAGTTCTGACTGTTCTACATACTTGCCAATATTTATCAGTCTTTTTAATTTTAAGCATTCTAGTGGCTTCACAGAATTTCATTTTATGGATGTATTATAATTTATTTAACCAAGGCTCTAGAGATAAACATTATTTCCATTGTTTCTTATTTTAAATAACACCATGAAAAATACCCTGCATAATAACTCTCAGTATACATCACTAATTTCTGCATTAAACTGAATTAATCAACCAGATGTCATACACACTTGCATAGCTTTTGGTAGTAAGTTACTGAACAGCCTTCCAGAAAGGCTATCTATACTCCTAATTTATACTCCTACAAGCTAGGCTACTCATGTTCCTTCACCAACCAATACCACTGGTACTATATTCAAAATGACTGGCAATACTATACTCCTAATTTATACTCCTACAAGCTGGGCTACTCATGTTCCTTCACCAACCAATACCACTGGTACTATATTCAAAATGACTGGCAATATTTTGAGTGCAAGGTGTTTTCACTATTGTTTCAACTTACATTTTTTTGTTGGTTAGTGAAGAAAAACAGCTTTTGATGTGTATTGATCACTTGTATTTCTTCTTTGATAAATAAATGGTTCAAGATTTTACCAACTCTTCCATAGGGGTATCTGTCTTATTTTCTTACAGGTTTGTAAGCATTCTTTATTATAAGGGAAATTTACCTTCTCATTTATGTTAAAAATATTTTCCCCAGTTAACTCTTACTTTTAATCTTTTTTGTTGTTGTTGTTGATTACTGATATCATTATTCTAAAACAAAGACAAATCTATCATTCTTTTGTTTTTTGGTTTTTTCTTTTGAGTAAAAAAGCCTTTCCTACTTTTAGAATAGATTTTCTCCTACATTATACACTAGTTCTTTCCCTTTACCATTTTTCACTTTTAATTCTTAGTACATCTGGGATTTATTTTGATGTGAACTAAGAATCTAAACCAACTTATTTTTATTTGAATACTTAATGTTCTATTATCTACTGAATGTTTTATCTTTTGCCTTCTGATTTGAAATTCTGTCAGATCAAATTCCTCTGTATTCTCACTTTTTCCATTGTACTCTCTATTCAATTCCAGTTCCCACACTGTAATCATAACAGCTTTATAAAAACGTTTTCTGGTTGTATAATAAAATTTATCTCATTCTTTAAACAGAAGGAAGGTTTCTTGCCAGATAAATTATAGAATTATTTCATCAAAAAGTTCAAAGTTGATAAGAATTATATTAAATATTCACATTTGTTTTAGAAAAATTAACACCTCCATAACATGGAATCTTCCCAAAGAGAAACTAGGCATGTTTCCCCCTAAGAAATCAACATGGCTTTTATGTCCCTTGTTTTTTGCAATTTTTTTCATTCTACATTTCTTGCTAAGGTTATTTCTAATATTTATGGTTTTATTTGTTATTTTGAATGGGATATTTCTCAATTTGTTTGAAATGGCTGACTTAGAGGAAAACTAGTGCTTTTAATACATATTTTATCATTGGTCACTTTACATATTCTCCTATTACTTCTAAAAGTCTTTCAGGTCTCTTCTCTACAAAAACTTACTTTGGTTTCCTTTGCAAAACACATACTTGTTTTAGACTCTAGCTTTCCTTATTTTAATTTATTGGCTAGAACATACAGAACAATGGTTTCAAAAAACAGTGGTAGCAGCAGGTATGTTCTTCTTACACCTGACTTCAGTAAGATTGATTTTATGACTGAAAATAAAGTAAGTAAATATTTTGCCTCATGTCAAACTTTCCATAAGTATTCTTTAGGTGAACTATATTATTTAAACATAGCAAGGAACCTGAACATTCCTAGAATGACTTGCTGTGTGTTCTTCCATATTTTCTCAGTTGCACCAACATGCACTCGATGTTCCTAAGCTAGACACTAAAGAAATTCTTGTCATCTCCTTCTTTCTCATCCCTGACATCTAACTTGTCTCTTAAGTTTCTTAGATAGTTCCTAAGTTTGTAATGTTCTTCCTATTTTCACTATACTTATATCATTTTAGTCTCTTAACATCTCTTGCTTAAAATACTTCAATTTATCAAATAACTGAGATTTCTTTCAATGGCAGAAACCTAAGCATATAATTAAAAGCATTAAAAAAAAAAGGTGTTTTATCACCTCAAAAACAAAATTCAGTAATGTCAATAATGATCTTCAGGACTTCATGATTTGGTCTCTTTATAGTATAATGCACTAAGTACAAAACAACAATGCTTATTCAAAAATAACAACACTATTTCCTCTTTCGAGAATCTGTACCTCTATAAAAAGTAAAGTCCTTTCCTATTTTCATTTATGGAAAATCAATATAAAAATAATGCTTTGCTTTAAGAATGTGAAACACTTTTGCAAAATGTATCACCAAGATCTTGAAAATGTATGGTAAAATATATTATCAACATCTCCCATTTTCCTGTCCTTGTGAAAATGAGAGATGTGAACCTGACCTCAGAAACTGCTATCTTTAAGCAAGAGAATCCCTTAAAAATGTTATTCAAAATGGTCAATTAAAATTCTATAAAAATGTACACATAATTAACATGTTAAGTATGGGTACACATTTCATCTAATAGTTTCTGAACAATTGCAATGTAATTAGTGACCAGGAAACATTAATGTGACCCGTAGTGGAAATACACACTTAAAACATAGGCATTAAAATAATATCAGTTAAAATATCTAGTAACTAGTAATACAATGTTTTAATCCTATCAAACTGATAAATTATCAAATAACTTTTTCTTCAATAGAAGACAAATTATTTGTGTATATAGTGCTTTGTTTTTTGACGTTTTTGACATAATTTCTCTTTGATTCTGTCTCAATTTATATCATTTTATCACAGTCACTCTTCATATTCACATGAGAAAAGCTACATCAACAACACACAGAAAAGTAAAGTGTAAATAGAAACTTACTCAATTCCATGATAATGACATACTGAGGCTTTTTCAAAAGGTAAGACGCGAAGTTTCCGAGGACTAAGTTCTGGTGTCACAACAAAAGTCTTTTCTCTGAAACAAAAATTTTTCATTTGTATGTAAGGTTTATTTTTTAAGACACAAATCTGGCTTCCTCTTCTACAACTGAATTTTATAAGGGGTAAAAGCTAGGGTACACCAGAAAGCATAAGAAAGAAATGAAGCAAGGTTAGCCCTACAGGTTACATTTCCTGTGCCTCAAGTTTTTGAAGTTATGATGTTACCTATTGCACAAAACTATTCCAAGAAATGGATTGAGAATGAAAAATGAGAAAAGATTTGTAATGAAAATTCAGGAAGCAGTACTATTTCTAAAAGAAATTATTCCTAAATATTATTATATGATTATATATTATTATATATTTTTTAGGAATAATACTAATCATTATTTCTAAAAGATACACATTTAGTTAAATCCTTTTTTGCAGGAGAATAATTAAAGCCTACTTGAATCTTTGGTAACAAAAGAAGTATTTATTTCTTACTATAACACAAGTGGAACCCAGATCTTTCTTTGCCTGAAAATGTAGTCATCTTGACACGTACTTTAAGAGTCAAACTTTTTAAATGTCAGAAGGTATACAGACATACTGCTGACATCAGTTCTTTTTCTGAAGTAGGTTTTCAATAAGCAGATACATTAGAACGAATCATACATCAAGCTTACGTAAAATATTTATGCTCCATTCCTTCCACAACTAGACCTGCAGGGGTACATCAAAATCTGGGGAAGAAGGAAGTCACTGCAATTAGATTAAGATCTCTGGGTTATTCTGATACGTGCCTCTCTTCTCTGCCTGAGTTAGGAACCACTGTTCTGTGTAACAGACTGAGGTCCTGAAGGGAAGAAGGAAGTCACTGCAATTAGATTAAGATCTCTGGGTTATTCTGATATGTGCCTCTCTTCTCTGCCTGAGTTAGGAACCACTGTTCTGTGTAACAGACTGAGGTCCTGAAGCTCACAACTTGTTAGATGGGAATAAGAGAATTATGCAGCAGTGGTCTTTACATAGTTAATAGGTAGAATGAAATACCAGGGGCTTGAATTCAGAAGAGCTGGAAATGGTATGTAGAGTACTAAGAACAAATTTGCCATCACATTTTCCCCCTATGGAATTAGTAAGGAAAATTGCCCTTCTGCCACAGAAAATTATCCAGAATACTATAATAAGCATTTGAAATTATTACATTAAAATGTAAAACATATGCCAATTAATGAATCCCAAAAAACAGACTTTATATTCTAATGCATCCATTTAAAGTCTTCAACAAAAAGTAATTTGCAATGACCCCAGTATTTTGATGAGTGACGATTAAAATGAGTAATTTTGTAATATATAACTCTTTAGGTATCTAGCATTTTACTCCTTTCCTTTATCATGTTTTCTCCCATTTCTCATTTCAGTCCCTCTCAGCAATTTTACCTATTTTTGTTTAATTTCCCTCACAACTTGCTCTTTCTAAAAGAAAAAAAAACCATTTTAATAAATATGTGTTCTGTCAATGTTTATTATTTCCTTGGTACATACATAGGAGTCACGCTTTGTTTAATTTAATACAGCATTTTGGATGACTCCTTGCACAGTAGACATTTACTAAGAGCACTTAGGTTCCTGATTCATTGCCATCAAAGTTCATCCTTCAACTTTACAGTTAATACAAGATACAAGAATACTCCATAGAAAGGTTCACATTATGTTTGATTCTATTTTTCCGCCAACTTTTTGAAGTACCATTATACATTTGATAATGATGCAGTTCTTTACTAACATCAAAGAATCATATCAAACTTTACTAAATAAATCACCTAGAAACTACAGAAAGAATTAACTATCTCTTTCCTGCAGTACATCTAAAAAGACATTCTAGTCAAAAGAGTACAACCTACATAAATAAATAATTCAATTTGGCGAACCCATCTGATTCTACCAGTTTGTGCTTATAATTTGAAAAGACAGTAATTCAATAACTAAATAGATGAAAATATGTACTACCTCTTCACTTTCTTGATTCCCACAAAAAAAAGTTATTTATCTCTCAAAACTATGAGAAAAGGAAAATTACTCCAAAATTATACAATTTTTATGTCACCTACTTCAGAAAAAGAACTGAAGTCAGCAGTAAGTCTCTATCACTAAGATCATTAAGTAATTAAGACTCAGAGTTATTAAGGTCCTTAAGTTTTCAAAATTGCTCCCTATGTCTCTCTCTCTAGTGAACACACACATAAAGGCAATAATGCTATAACAATATTTTTGAGATATAACTACCTTCAAATAAACCTTTTCTGAAATTCATCCTTAAAATCAATATTTAGGGCTGGCCAGTTAGCTCATTTGGTTGGAGTGTGGTGCTGATAACACAAAAGTGAAGTGTGCAAGACCTGTACTGGCCAGCCACAAAAAAAAAAAAGAAAAGAAATTTTAAAAAATAAAATAAATAAAAATCAATATTTACCACAGTATAATTCAAAACAAGCTTTGTAAAAGTGATCAAAGTAATCTATAATTTTTAAAGTTCTTTGGAAGGTTTTCAAAATAATGAATAAACAAAAAGAAATTGAACCAATGAGCAAATTATTCAATTCTCAGAAGTATTTGATGTCACAATTTTACCTGTAATTCAGTCAACTTCAGCAACATCCAGCATTTATTAACTAATAACTTAGTGCAAGTTATTTCAGAAGTCAAATTAGTTGTAAATTATTCATACAGACTCTAAGTTTTTATTTGGCAATGTTATAGTTTAAAAAGCATTTTTATTACACTTTCCCATTCTCTTCAGTTGAAAGGGTGTGATTTTCCTACTATGAAGTATGACTGACAATGCTCAAGTCAAGTAGTGGCAAAATCAAAACTAGAGAGTAACATAGAAAAGAGAATTTTTAAAAAAATGTTCTAGTCAAATTCTATTTTTTTCTTAAAAAGTATTGTCCTCTATAGACAAAATAGAAGCTGCTTACTCTATAGGGAATATGCTGAGGTTGCTTTTATTATTCCTGTTTCCCTTTCAATACCACAAAACAGCAGGACATTTGGCTGAGATAAAATGTGAGGATTAAGGCCAGCTGAGATCAAACTTATGAATTTTGCTCTAGTAGCACAGAGAATCAATTAATTAAGGAAATGAGATACAATGTTATTTAAAAATGATTTTTTATTTTTTTATTTTTTTTTCCTTTTTGTCTTTTTTCGTGACCGGCAACGGATCGCAACCCTCAGTGTCGCGCCCATACCGGACCGGGACCGGCAACAGGATCGCAACCCTCGGTGTTGCGCCCGCACCTCGCTCAGCCAGTGAGCGGGAACCAGTCTGTATGTGGGATCCGAACCCTCGGCGGGAGCGCCACCGCGCTCCCAAGCGGCGCACTGTAGCAGTGCGCCACCGGGCCAACCTAAAAATGATTTTTTGGAATTAAGTGGAAATTTTAAGTTTATAACTTACCCTTTTTGAATCTGTAAAGGCTGAAGGTCTCCAACTGGTAATCCATCTGAGGTAAAGTATTTCAACAATTCTTTAGCATCTAGTAATGTGATTGAATCCTTTGGACCTTCTTTGTGGCCCAGCAACTGTTCAGATGAATAGGGTAATGAACCAGTTCTGGGAAAATATTGTTATGTAGATTTATTAAAGGTGAATTTGAATTCACCATAGTCAGAAAAAGGTGATGTGAGCAGAAATCAGAAAAATACCGAAAGAAAACTGAAGAATTATGCATTTAGGAAAGAAAATGAAGTAAAATCTTTGCAAATCATTTAGTTTCCAAACTTTATTTTTAAAAAATCTGTAAATCACAATGAAACTTGTAGTTACCATGTTAACAATTCTATATTACATTATTTATAAATGATAGTATATTAATTATTCAGTAGTATGAAGTTACCAATTCTATAAAATCTAAATCTAAATTCTCTTATATGTTCTAAAACCCCACAATATTATAAATTTTTGAAGACAGGGACTGAATGTTCCAATTTTCTATGAACTTGAAAGATTACTTGAAGCACAACCATGAAATGAGACAGTAATCAGAAATCTCTCCAAGGACTCTTCTAGCCATGATTATGACATTATGAATAAGCACTGAATCATTATTATACCTGAAATATATGTAGGACTTTATACTTTTCAAACTACTTTACATATAATATATTCCTAATCCTCACAAACTTCCTTGAAAAAGATGAAATAGGTCATATCTCAAAATGAGGTAACACCTAAATAAGTACTTTGTAAAGTGAAAATCAGCACACCACGCCTAAAAAACAATCATTATTCTTATTTTTTCAGGGTGACACAGGTATTTAAAATGAGAGTTAGAACTGTACTGACTGCAAACTAGGTACTATTTCTACCCTATCACTTTATAAACGAAAAAAGCTCACAGAAGCTTTAAAAACTGGAAAGATGAAAATACTTTAGCTTCAGAGAATGCTAAAAGTTTATTAGGCACCAAATCACAGATCACCACAGCATAAATAAAATCTTCAATACCTATACAGAAAATTAATTTCCTATCTTTACACTAATTCAGCCATTTCCTAATAATTATATTACTCAAATTATGCATTTTTACTGATAATGACACGAATAAAATATTGACATTACAGTTTTGGACTTATAATTGTATACATTAAGGATCAACAATAAATTGACAGTGCCTCTTTCCCCTTCCTATTTCCTGTATTTTTAAATTGGAAATATAAATCTAATAAAAATAGTCAGACAAAAAAACTCTCAAATATTTTCTTTGAACTTCATTCTACGGAAGGGCAGAAACTGCATTATGAGTTTAATTTCTATATAGCTACTGTCTAATAGTGACTCACAAAAGTTTCTTAATGAGTATTACTCTCAATCATTTTACAGGCTAGATGCAACGGGAAATGTATAATTTGCGTTTATATAGAACTCTGGGCACAAGGACATCAAAGCAATTTAAAAGCCAAGTTTGTGATAAATTGCACTACCAAGATATATCCTAGGTTAAAAAAAAAACACTGACAAACAGCTTTTTTTGTTTAGTGTTTTCAAGCTTACAAAGTATTTTTTTCATAGATTATCTTATTAAATTTTCACAACTTTGAAATAGAACTAAAATTTTTATCCCCATCTTAAAGATAAGGCAACACAAGTCACATAACAGGTGACTGGGAGTGTCTAAAACCAAATTCCTATACATCTTTTGAATTTCACTATATAATGATCCTTTTATTCTCTAGTTAAATCTGTTTTAACACACGACAAATTCTGAAACTGTGAAACATAAGTTTTGCTCCCAACCAAGCATTTCATGGTATCTTCCCACAAGTATCTATCCAGCATTTACTTTGTAAATATCATTATGAGGTACTAGAAAAAGTTCACTATAATTTATTGACCCATAATCACTACTTGTAATATACTCTATAGGTATGACTTAAAGTAGGAGAAAAAAGGTGAGGAGAGTGAAAGGAGATAAATATACCAATGTAGAATGAGGTAGAAAGAGTTGCAGTACTATAAAAAGCTTAAGTAAAAGGTAGTACTTGACCTGGACCTCAAACGACACAAACGACACACTTCTAGATCAAAATGGTAGATTAAACATACACATTATGTTCTCCACTTGAACAAATTAAAATCACAATGTTGAAACAACAGAGATTAAATTCACAATATGGTTGAGAAAACGAAGAAGGAAAAAACGGTGGACCAGAGAATTCAATGATTTCAAGAAGGGATAAACCAGAGAGCAAAATCCTCAGCAAAAACTAGGGAAATCTACAAAATAGGTAGAATCAATTCTACCTAACCAGAGTGAGACTCTAAGTTGGGGGTCAGACAGTGGCAATGGGCACAAATCAAGTTGATGAATTTTAAGAACCGTACTTAAAACAGTTATGCAAGTACCACCTTCCTATACCCCACCTCACCCTCTGCTTTTACCTCAAGTTAAAAACAGAAAATCTGCTCTCTGAAGACAGAACCATGAGGCCTGTCCCACTGTCAGTGATGACAACCCAGAATAAAGCCCCCCTAATTTAGTGCTAGATGAAGCAGGCTGCTTGCCTGCTGACTGCTCTCTGAAGACAGAACCATGAGGCCTGTCCCACTGTCAGTGGTGACAACCCAGAATAAAGCCCCCCTAATTTAGTGCTAGATGAAGCAGGCTGCTTGCCTGCTGATACCCTAAAGTGTGCCCTAATGTGAAGCCTGCCAGGCATGCTCTACCCTGCACTCCATCCCCCAACATTAATACAAGTGAGAGCAAGTGGGGAACAGAACTACACATACAGAGAGAAAACACATGCCAAATACCTATATAAAGCAATGTAGCCCTAAGTTCTTAGCTATGATCAAGCAATCAAGGACCACCAGACACTGGAGGAAAACTACACATAAGAGAAAAACACCAGAGGAATAAATAAAACAGTTGCAAAGGAAAATGAGATCACTCAAGGAAAAGACAAAATAAGCTTAAAGCAAATTCTAATTCATATCCTTATAGTATCATCTCAAATCTTATTATTAGTAGAACGGGTTGCTATGAAAAAATAGGGTAGAAGAACAAGAAAAAATTATTACAAATTTAATATACGGCTACCCAAAATTTTAACAGAAAAGATGAATGCAAAGGTAAATACTCTAGAACACAGCAGAAAAGATGGAGAGATTATTGAGAGAAAAATCAGATTTGAATTAAAAAAGAAAATCAATACAGGATATTTAATTAAAACAGGTATTTAGTAAAAATAGATATTTCAGAGAGAAAAGAATAAAAGAAAATGCAGGAAAGAAGAAATAAAAGAATTGAAGAAATTATTGTAAAAATAATAGAATATTACCCAGAGCCAAAAAAAGACAGAAGTCTTAAGACTAAAACATCCTACACATGGCCTCATGTAATTTCAGAACATTAAAGAAAATAGAAAATTCTACAAGTTTTAGAGACAGAATAAAATATTAAGAAACAAAAATCGATCTGCATTGAACTCTTTAAGATATGAGATCCCAAAAAAGTACAGAACTAATCAAGAAATGTTATCAAAAGAAATACCAGGATAATAGCTGTGCAGGTGGAAAGGGTCTGCCCAAGTTAGAGTAGGAAATCAGAGAGAAACAAGAAAAATACTTTACTAAGAAGAAAAATAATTGTCTATTGCAAGTAACCTAAGGGTTAGAGATAGAGGGAGGATAAAAAGGGAAGAAAAACAGGGGTGTTAATTTGCTCATCTTTCACAGTAGGAAGTTAAAGATACCATCCAAAATAAGCAATAAATTGAAGTTCTTCTGTTGGTAACCTTTCCTTTTCTCACTGTTCTTTCTCAACTGTCTTCTTCCACCTAACCTATATACCCATCTATTCCCCTCATGGTTTCACCAAGTGACCTCTTCCACTATCACATATTTAAAAACTCCTTCTGATGATAACTCCAAATTGAGTTCCAGGTCTTTCCTCCAATCCACTTGACACAGGCACTTAGATAATTCATAGATCAAACTTAGCATCCCTAAAACAGAATTTTTTATTTTTCTCCCCAAAGCTGTCCTCAACCCAATTTTCCCACCAATGTCCTCCATAAGAACACCACTCACCCAGTTAAAGCAGAAATCTAAATTATTTTGAATGCCTCTCCTTCCTTTTTTATATCCAGTCTATCACAGGAAGTTTTTTTTCCAATTTACCACCATAAATATACCAAATTTGTTCCCCACTACTACTACTCTAGTTTGAGACCACAGTTATCTCTCACTTAGCCTATGAAAAAAGCTACCTAACTGATCTCTCTGCATCTTAACTCTCTGCAATCTATTTTCCACAAATGAGCAACATTTTTGCAAAATCAAATCCTATCATTCTTCGATATAAAATACTTCAAAAGTTTACCCATGCACTTAAAATAAAATCCAAACTCTGTGTGGTGACCGATTAGGTCCTATATGACTGAATGTGCTTCACCCATTCATTCATTAGGTCACGGTTCAAATGTAACTTCCAAGAGCTCTCCTGACCATCCACCTCGTTTAAGTTAGCACCACTTCCCTCCCCACAACAAACAAAATTATTCTCCCTCAGTACTTTATTTCATTCATTACGCATAGTAGTTTGCAATTATTCTATTTACTTGTCTGGTTACTTGTTTTCTTGTGACTCCATCCTATTAAAAGGTAATGGATTAGAAGAATCAATATCATCAAAATGACCATACAACCCAAAGTGATCTACAGATTTTAATGCAATCCCCATCAAACTACCAATGATATATTCCACAGAAATAGAAAAAACAATTAAAAAATTTATATGGAACAACAAGAGACCCGAAGCAATCCTGAGCAAAAAGAACAAAGTGGGAGATATCCACACACCCTGACTTTAAAATATACTACAAAGCTATAGTAACAAAACCACCATAGTACTGGCACAAAAACAGACACATAGACCAAACGGCATAGAGAATTCTGAAATAAATCCATGTACCTACAGCCAGCTGATTTCTGACAAAGGAGCCAAGAAAATTACATTGCAGAAAGGACAGTCTTCAATAAATGGTGTTGGGAAAATTGGAGATCCACATGCAAAAGAATGAAACTAGACCCCTATCTCTCAGCATACACCAAAATCAACTCAAAAGGGATTAAAGACTTAATGTAAGAATAGAAACTATAAAACTTCCAGAAGAAAACATAGGGGAAATACTTCAGGACAGAGTCTTGGCAAAGATTTTATTAATAATACTTCCAAAGCACAGGGAACAAAAGCAAAAATTACAAATGGGATTATAGCAAACTAAAAAGCTTCTGCACAGCAAAGGAAACAATCAACAGAGCAAGAAGATAATCTGCAGAATAGAAGAAAATATTTGCAAATTATGCATCCCACAAGGGATTAATATCCAGAATATACAAAGAACTCAAACAACTGAAGAGTAAAAAAACAAATCTGATTTAAAAAACTTGCAAAGGAACTGAATAGACGTTTTTGAAAAGAAAACATACAAATGGCCAAAAGGTATATGAAAAAATGCTCAACATCATTTCATCAGAGAAATGCAAATCAAAACCATAACGTGATATCATCTAACCCAGTTAGAATGGCTATTATCAAAAAGAAAATAAATGCTGGTGAGGATGTGTAGAAAGGGGAACTCTTCTACATTTCTGGTGGGAATGTAAGTTAGTACAGCTGTTATGGAAAACAGTGTGGAGATTTCTCATACAACTACAGATAGAACTACCATATGACCCAGCAATCCCACTACTGAGTATATATATCCAAAGGAATGAAAATCAACATGTAGAAGGGATACCTGTACTTACAAGTTTATCAGAGCTCTATTCACAATAGCCAAGAGTTGAAACCAACCTAAATGTCCTTCTACAGATGATTGGATAAAGAAAACATGATGTGTGTGTGTGTGTGTGTGTGTGTGTGTGTGTGTGTGTGTGTACACACACAATGGAATACTGCTCAGCCATTAAAAAAGAATGAAATTTTGCCATTTACAGCAACATGGATGAGCTTGGAGAAAATCATGTTAAGTGAAATAAGCCAGGCACAGAAAGAGAAATACCACATTTCTCACTTACATGCAGAAGCTAAAAAAGTTGATCTCATAGAAGAAGAGAGCAGAATTAGTGGATACTAGAGTTTGGTGGGGAAAAGAGGGAGGAGGGAATGAGGAGAGGTTGTCAGTGTATATAAAACTGTAGAGAGATAGGAAGAATATGATCTAGTGTTCTATAGTAATATAGGGAGATTACTGTTAACAATGCACTATGGATCTTTGAATAGCTAGTCAGGATGATGTTGACTGTTCCTAACACAAAGAAATGACAAATGTTTGAGTTGATGGATATACGAAGCACCCTGATATGACTATGGCATACAGTATCCAAATAACATATTGTACTCCATAAATATATACAATTACCATGAGTCAATTAAGAAAAATATCCCATACTGGCCAGCTGACAAAAAGAAAAAGCCAGCTGATTAGCTCACTTGGTTGGAGAGTGGTGTTGTAACACCAAGGCCAAGGGTTTGGATCCCCACACAGGCCAGATGCCAAAAAAAAAAAAAAAAAAAAAAAGAAAGAAAAACAAATTGAAAAGAGATAAAAGACAGAGAAATCAGAGAGCAGAATAGAGCTTATCAGAGGCAAGAAAAAGGAGTGGGGAGAGAGGAAAGGTTGGTAGACTGGTACAAAGTTACAAAGTTACAGTTAGATGAGAAGAAGAATTTCTGGTGCTCTAGGATGACAACAGCTAATAAAATTGTATTGTATATTTCAGGATAGCATAGAAAAGAAGAACTTGAATATTATAACCACAAAGAAATGATAAATGTTTATGTGATAGATATGCTCACTATTCTGATTAGATCATTATGCAATATATGCATGTATTGAAACAACAAACTGTACTCCACAAACATGTAGAATGAAAAAAATTTTTTTTAAAAGTAAGCTATAAGAGAGAGGCAGTGCATAGCTTGTTTTTCCTCATATCCCAAGTGCCTGACACATAGTTGGTGCTCAATAAATATCTGTTGACATACATGAAAAAAAGTTACAGCAGTCATAAAATGATATAAACAGAGAAGTTAAAAATAAAAATGTGATTCATAACATTTGGGAGGAGAGCAAAGAAAGAGAGCTAAATTTCTCCTCTTTTATTTCATCACTCACCAATTATTTTCAGAGTGCGTACTATGTACTGAACCAAAAAGTCAAAAACAAATAAAAATAAACCCTGCCTCGTGGAGTTAGTTAATAGGTACCATATAAACATATATGAATGTAAAACAGAAATAGTTTAAAGTGGCTCAAATGAAGAGAGTACTTCATTTTCCATGATCCTGTATTAAGTTTACTGTATATATTTATATACTTGTGTATGTCTACGAACAAGGTCTGGAAAGCTATAAGCCAGAGTGGTCACTGTGATTATATACACCCGGAAAATGTCAGTGAAAGGCAGAGAAAGATGAGCATTTCCCTTTTAAAAGATATACTACTCTACTGATTATCTACTTATGGCAAGCATGTATTTCTTTTACAATAAAACTATATAAACTACTTTAATCTCATGAACCTAATTTACAGATTAAGAAAAAAGTGTTCATTTAAAAATAGTGACCTACAGCATGCTTTACTACATATTCAAATATTACCTCATTTTTTCTTTAGCTTTTTCGAAAGTTTCCAAATTTTGAAGAACATGCTTTTCTGGCCATTCCAGAGGATTGGTTTCCATCACACTTGAATAATCAGGTTCCACTGGACTGGCATCTAAAGAGAAAGAAACACACAAAAGTACTGAAAAGTATTAACATACTGAATTTTGCTACATACAAATGTATATATTGAGACATACATACACTGTATATCTGTGTGTGTGTGTGTGTGTGTGTGTGTGTATAAATACATGTTGGATTAGTTACACAATATGTACCATAGGCATTTATTAAGGAACTCTCCAACAGCCTCAACTGTGTAAAATCCCTTAGAAAAGTTTGATGAACATGAAAATAAACTATCTCCTCATAATAAAAGTCGTGAGCTAGACAAAATTCAGAACTGAACTAGCATTATTAGGACTCATGTGAAATAAAAGCATAAATTTGATATTTTTAGTAAAATTAGTTCTAAATGAAAAGGAGGCAAGTCTGTAGAGAATATATTGGATATGCTATGTGATTTTCATCTGAGAAACAGAAATTAGCACAAGTATCCTGAAAATGTTCCACGATTTCTAAAAAGACCTTATCTCATCCTCACAAGTGCAATAATAAAATAATAAATAACTTATGATGCTCTCAAGTAAAGGTTACTTTAGAAATAATTCTCACATATCTATTAATGTAAGATGCCCTAACATACATATCTTCAAATCACTAATATTATTTTTCTACTAATAAAATATTATATATAAGGGTGTGCTTCTCTTTCTAGCTAATATGCTGCAGTGAACTAATGGTGAGATTGCTGATAACACTGGGATTCTCAAAGAAAACCTAAAGGGACAGCTTTGATTCTCATTAGAAAGTATTAACACATCCAAACTGTTTTAACACTGGCAAAATTACTAAATGTACTACCTTTTTGGTTTCCAGGGAACTTTATAGTTTAAAAAATTATTTTGAACTATTACACACTGTTCTAATAAATTGACTGAAAATTACTGGACATTATCTGTTTGACAAACCATCAACACCAACAAAAATACCCATTTTATATTTGGTGGGGGCAAGCCTTACAAAATAATCATTTGGCCAATAAATGTTTAAACAAACATAAAAAAATAAAAATAAATGCAAATGGAAAACAATTGCATGTTATTTTCCCTTTACTTATTAAACTATTTATTCTCAAATATTTTCAATGCCTGTGTTGGACTGCCCTCACTGAACACCATGCAAATACACTACTTCCCATTTCTTAATAAGGGTGGAGAAATACTATTTTATAGGGTAAAGCATTTTATAATGAAATAATATACTTCTTAGTGTTAAATGCCTGTGTTGGACTGCCCTCACTGAACACCATGCAAATACACTACTTCCCATTTCTTAATAAGGGTAGAGAAATACTATTTTATAGGGTAAAGCATTTTATAATGAAATAATATACTTCTTAGTGTTAACAGATTTTGCACTAAAAATGTAAGGGAAAAAATCATTAGCTGTTCTGTACAGCTGTATGCTGTGAATCCATAAAATGATTCAAGCTATCTTTAAAAAAAGTAAACATTAAATTATTCCTAAATATTACAATACAATCCCCTAAATATAAAGACATAAGCTCAGTATTAAAAAATGGGTAGACAAACATTCACATGTGTCATGTTTTGGGGTGATAATTTAATATAATTCTTACAGTAAAATAAAACATTATATTTTATTTATGTGGCAGTCAAGACACTGGGCTACACCAAGAATCAAAAATCACAAAATGTATTTTGAATAATTATTTTCCCCCCCAATTCAACAACATTAAGGGAATTATAAACAATAGCTGCTATTTCTTA